TAAATCTTTCCATAAACTGATAGTGGCTTTCAAATTCTTTCCCATCCAGCAAGTGCATGTGTGCTTGGGAGGCAGAGCTATAGCTGTAAGCACATCAGACAGTGGAGTCATGATAAAAACATGTTGTTTTCAGTCAGTCCCATGAGGGTGAGATACTAGACTGATAAATTTTCTGTAGAAAGTGAGAACTATGGTCCCTAACTCTTCTCTTGGGCATTTTTTCTCTGCGTTTCCCTCTCTGTTAATTCCCAGCAGCAGAAAAATCTGACTCTGGTAGTTGTTTAACTGGAACTGTTGAATAAAGCCCTGAACAATTTCTTTGTCTTTTCTGAGGCTACACCTCAGCAGACTGTCTAAGCAGAGATGATGTATTTCTGTGTACTTAAGTTGTGATTTGAGGTTTCTCACTCTAGGGTTTATGCAAAAATTGTCTGTGACAGCTGACGGACAACTTGCTTTTTGCTTGTTTCAGCAAGTGGTAAAATAACTGTGCTTGATGTTAACAAGCAATTCTGTTTTCAATTACACTCTCCTTCAGAATAAGATGGAATATTGAAGGGATGATACTGGACCTTATGTTTTCAGAATATAAAAAAGTATATGTATGTGGAGGGGGTTTGAGACTGAATATCTGTGGCATCTGGGTGAAATTACGAACAATAAAATAACTATGAAAATGAGCTGGAATTTGATAAGCAGCTAAATTATGACCATCTAGGGCATGCTGAATGGCAAGGATATGTCCAAAGTAGAACTTGCTGAAATGAGGAATGTCTGTACAGTCTGGCATGAAGCAGGTGCATGGTGAATTAGGTCACAGCTTTAAGTGTGAACGTTTCCCCTCTTTAGAAGGACATACTCATCCTTTGCAACAAGGAATTAAACCAGAATGCTAATATAATAAAAACACATTTAAAAGAATTTTCAATTAGTATGCTGGTCTATTCCCTTGTGCTTAGAGAATCAATGATCCCTTTTGTAAGGAACAGAAACATTTCCATAGCTGAATATACATAAGGCCCTGGAAATGCAGAAAGAATAACAACCAGTTGCTTCTGGAAAACTTGCAAATCTTTAAGCATTGTATAAGCTTCAGATGTCTTGTTCTTTGGAGATGATAGGGAGTATTTCAAATGTTTTGACAAGTTTTGAAGAATTGAAATAAAGTCAAGTATTAGCATGTGCAATTTAAAGATTTGGAACTTTAAACACTGAAATGCTGATCCTGGGAACTCTTGTGTGATTACTTAATTCCAGATAATATCACTGTTCTATAAACTTTAGAATGTACCATGTGAACCTGAATTAATTTTCTTATTCTGGTTCTTAGGAGCCCACACGCTTTTGCTAATTCTGGGGTTTCGTGGTCTGCTTTCTCTAGTAACTATCTTCAACAGCTTGCAAGTAGTTACTGGAATTCTAAAATGGTGCTGTGCCAGACACAATGAATATCTAATTTGGGTTGTAAATATGCAAAACTAGTGCTTTTCTGAAAAAAAGAGGCTAGTGAAATAGAGGGGTCGTATACCCTCCTTTTCTGATAGGATAAGAATTAAGGTTTCTGTTTGCTTTAATCCTTGAAGGATCTGTGTCCTTTATGATGACTCTATGGGGTAGGGGGGAAAGAAGTGTACACATTTGATCAGTCCCCACTTCTTTAGCAAACTAACCCCTTCAGCTCTACATGAGCAATTTTAAATTTTATTGTTAACATAACTGGTTGCACAAACATTCCTTGCCTTTAAAGGTCACAAGGAAGCTGTAGTGGGAAAAATGTAAAAAAACTGTCACAGATAAACAGGCAAAGGCTACCTCTGTGCAAAAAGGCTTTCTTGTTCCTTAGATTGTCACTAGCTCACTAGAAGAGGGTTTACAACTAATGAGGAGGGAATAACTGAAGCCTAGAAGGAGAAAAAATAGCAAGCTCTATTCAGTCCATCACGTGTGGTTTCCATCACTTCAGAAGCAGTTTGTTGTCCCTCTTCCCTCTGCACCCCTTTAGGCAGTGCTCCACACAGCAGCCATGTGGTGTAAATAAGTATGATGCCAGTAGGAAGGCTCAGAAGTCTGCAGTTACTCATCATCTTTTGCTCTTGCACTGGTGATGCAATGTAAATGGCAAGTCCCTGTGGAGGTGTGCTGACTTTCTTAATCTGTGCTTACCATAATGATGCACATTTGGCCACAGTTAAAGTAATTGAGAACAAAGCTGTTCTTTCATTGCCCCCTGCTATTCTCTGGGGGAATCCTCTCCTGGTACATTGTGTCTTCTTGACACTGCATCAGGAAATATGTTGTGACTTCTTTATAAGATGTGAATGAAACCTAAAACACTGTTACTCATAGAAGTTGAACACAGGGTAATTTATTGGTAGAGCAAGAATGGAATAAAGATCCACTAGGCCATTGGCCCAGCTTCAGAGGTGGCTATTGATCACTTAACAACAGTTAGTGGTTGTTTAAAGCTGATGGTGGTAGGATGTTGCATGACTTAGCTTGCTTTAAGGTAGAGGTTCAGTGATGAGCCACATCTGGCTGTGGTTTTACAGCTGCCTTAACTGCCCATTAGCAAACTGTACCATGGTAGTCCAAATAATCTCTTATGACAGTCTTAAATAGAAATATTAGCTTCTGTTTTCTAGTATGTGTTTTTGTTTTCTTTCATAATCCTGTAAAAGCGAGGAGAAAGGTAAAGGTAAAACACAAAGCTGTCTTCTTTGTGTCCTGATGAGCTGTAAGACTCACCCTTGTCTCCTACCCTGTCCCCAGTACCTAAAGCATCTCTGTCACTTGGAAAGTTTATTTCTATAGTGATACAGTAGCTGTGTTAGTGTATAGCACGATGCAAAAATGCTGTTGTTCTTGACAGCAGCGGTAAGGTTGTGCAGTGAAAAATAGGTGGGACTGGATTTAGCAATATTTCATGTGAGTAGTTTGATCATTTTTCAATATGCCTTGACTCATCTGAGATGTGTCAGTTTCTTCATGGTGTAGCTTCAGTACAGTCTAGCATTTTTCTAGGTTTAAAGAAACATACGGTTCTTTGTTATTAGTTGTGACTTCACCTCTTGCAATCCAACAGAACAAGAAATAATGAAGAAATGTGAAAAAACATAATCTAAGCAACTTTGTGCTAAAGAGAGCCTGGGATCATTACGTCATTTTGTGAACTGTTTTCATCCTGTAGATTGTTTTTAACTCCCTTCATTCACCACATCTGGACCCTGGTCAGTTGTCTGAGGATACATCTGGTGTTGATCACTCTTTATAGGCATTTAACTTGCATTTATATAATGCCATTTGTGCAGTGAGGAGTGACTAACTTCTGACTTACTTGGACTTAAAAGGGTGTCATCTAGAATTAAGTTGATAAAACTTACTTATTTTTTAAAAGCTTCAGTTTCAGATAATAGTAGCCTTTAAGCTGCTGTATTACTGATTTCTACATAATGGAGTTAATTTATTTGTGAACAGGGTCATAGGCAGTAACTTTAACACTACAAATATTAATAACTGCTTTAAGCAGTAGACTTCGGTCCAAGTGGCCATTTTTTTCCTAATCTCTCTACAACTAAACTGAAGTTACTCAAGTCCCAGAACTTCCCACAAACAATAGTTACACAATACAGCCAACATGGATGTAGAGCTTCTAGATCCCTGGATCTTCATGAGCTTCATGAGCTTTACTTACTTTCTACAACCACATTTTAAGTGACACTATTTTATTAATGTTAGAAAGTAGACATTTAGCTTACTTCATAGCTCTTCGTGCTGTCTCTGAAGAGGTCTATAAACTATTTTACTGTTGTTGCTAAAAAGGATCTTTGGTGTCCTTCTCTTGTGTAACTGTGGCCCTTTCCTGATCTTGTTTTCCAAGCCAATTTGGTGTAAGAGGGTGACACTAGACTAACCAAATTCTGAAATGCAGTTTCTGTGAACGTTGATATTTAAATCTGCAATACTTTATTGATGAGTGAATAATTATTCCCTAAAAGATATTTACATAAAGTGAAAGCAAATGGAAAAGCAAGCTTCTGCTGCTTAAAAGTTGTGCTTGAAATTTATTTATTTTTTAGTTTAGAAGAGTAGGAAGGAGATGACTTTTGTTGGTGGTTATTTTCCTCCCACAAAGGAAAACAAAATGAAAAAAACAAAAAGGAATGGGGGAGTTAAATAACACTTGATGAGACTAGAAGAACCCTTACTGCTTTAGCTAGCTCTGTGAAAAATGTATTTCATTAGACTGTCACTATTGCTATTTTCCAGACACTGTCTAAGAGAATCACTGATGGATAATGCAATGGAAAAAAAATGTTTTCTTTCTCCTTTTCCCACCTGTTTCCCCAGCAATCCTTTGCATCCCTGTGTTAAACTTTGTGTGTTTTCCAAATGACTGGCTACTCTGTAGTTCTAATATCCACCTCTCTTTAATTTTAGGTTCTGTCTTCATTTTGATGACTCAATCGCAGATTCCAAGAAAAGGAGGGGAACTGGAATATAATACTCAAGTGCCAGAGGAAAAGCCAGATTAGCCAATGAAAATTACTGCTACTAAGCTGTAGACTGCTCTCACTTCAATATAGTGGGGGGAAAAATTGCTGTTGATGCAGAGCTCTTAAAATGACTTTTGTAGACTTTCCTCTCTGAACTTCAAATAGGATCAAACCCTTTAACTAGGGTTGAATTAGGAAATGGAAGTATGACTTCCTGCTTGTGTCTTCCACCTTCCTTCCCCTCTGCAGGGTTTTTTGTTTGGGATAGGAAATCCTGAACAAATTGTATGGCGTCAGCCAGACTTACAGCTGATGGTTATGGATGACATAGGAGCTTCAGATTTATGTCTCTGCAATGACACCTGATTAAAGCAAAGGTTGAAAACTGCTGATAAGCTACTTTATCAAAGTTTCTAGTAACAGTTTTGGTCATGCTCTCTCTAGGGTGATGTTCCCTAGGTGTCATGAACAGATCAGTGATCTTTTTGGATTGGTAACGGAAATAATATGAGAATGCCCAGAAGAGGCTTAGTAATTCAAGCCAGGACTCGCTGGCTACTAGTGGGCCTTGCCTTACTATTCAGTTTAGTCTTGCTCATGTATTTGCTCGAGTGTGCTCCACAAACAGATAGTAATGGATCTCTGCCTGGTGTTGTAGGTGAAAACATGGGTAAAGAATACTATCAAGCTCTCTTGCAGGAACAAGAAGAGCATTATCAAAATCGAGCTACCAGTCTGAAACGTCAGATTGCCCAGTTAAAGCAAGAGCTTCAGGAAATGAGTGATAAATTGAAATCCCTGCAGGAAAAAAAGAGCCCCAAGGTCAATGGTATGAACTACCAGGGCACCAAAGAACAAGCATCCAATGATCTCCTAGAGTTTCTTCATTCCCAGATTGACAAAGCGGAGGTGAGCATGGGGGCCAAACTGCCTAGTGAATATGGTGTCATTCCTTTTGAAAGCTTTACCTCCATGAAGGTGTTCCAGTTAGAGATGGGGCTCACTCGGCATCCAGAAGAGAAGCCCGTTAGAAAGGATAAACGAGATGAATTGGTGGAAGTTATTGAGGCTGGTCTGGAAGTTATCAATAATCCAGATGAAGAAGATGGACAAGATGAAGATGATGGACTAGGAGAGAGACAGCTGTATGGTGACAGTGATTTCATAGAAGGTATGTTTATTACACACTTCTCAGCCTGTTAACAGAATGTCAACAGACATTTAATACTGTTAGTATTTTTAGGGGGTTTACCTGCTTGTATATAGTCCTGAATATTAATGACACAGTAAGAATCTTTATTTCTAATTATGAAAATATTACTGCTTCAATATGTTGTGTTTGGAGTAGGGAGCAAGAAATGCATTTCAGAAGGGCTCACCACAAGAAGTAGAGGGGGCAATCACAGACTCAGAATCATTAAATGTTGGAAAAGACTTTCAAGATCATCAAGTGCCACTGTCAGCTCTACACCTCCATGACCATTAAACCATCTTCCTAAGCACCACATTTACCAGTTTCTTTAATACCTCCAGGCACGATTCCTCCACCACCTCCCTGGGAAGTTGTATCTGCTTAGAATACTGAGGCATTCATAATTTATTTTAGCTGAAGTCAGTGTCATACAACTGCTTATGGTAGTAAATAACTGAAAGACTTCCACTGAATCTTGTGGCAGTGAGAGGGACAAACTGTTTAACTCTCTTGTTCCAGCATAGTTAAACAATTCACTATCAAGATACAGGGTTTTTCTTTACTCATCTCTGTGCCACTTTTATTTAATATTCAGGCTTTTGACTTTCAGAGTTGGCAGACTTAGATTGGAGGGAGAACATAGGTAGGCTAAGGTCTTCTGGTCATGTCAGCTTAAAAACTTAATCTCCTGAATAGACCCTTCATGGTATACTAGTTATGGTGTCTGCTAGGCTGTGCAACCTTGAACTGTTCTCTCTTCAGTTCTCAGTGTGTGTAAGTTCAATGACAGAATGTGTTATTGTAAAAGCAAATATAGCAGTTAGGCTTTCAATACTTAGTGGCACCCTTAAGAGATAAGTATTACCAAAAACTGCCCTAGTACCTCTTTTTTGTATTTACAGTATTAAATACAGTTCATGCTGCCATAAAAATACAAAAGTTGGACCATGTTGTAAGAACATTACTGTAAAAGGGGTTCTGGATCTCAGCAGTACTGGTGTCTGCACTATTAAGCAAACATGCTGAAGGAAGGTACTGTTGGCCATGAAATAATCAGTTCTTTCAGTCTAAGATGATGTAATTGGTCTATAGCACAAAAAGACTCTGCTTTTAAGAGCTACTGTGTTTCAAGTTTAACACAAGTATTCTTCACTCTAGAAGGTGGGGCAGCGTGTAGAATTCACAGAACTGTTGTGGTAACACAGCCAGCACAGTGTTAGGCTCTTAGTTCTGATTTTACTTAAAATCATAGTATTTTGTCTGGAGGAAGACATTCTTGCAGTCTTTCAGTTGTTTGCTTTTTACATTAAGTGTACATCTACTTTGCCTTTGATCTTTTAAAGACAGCTGATACTCTAGTGGATTTTTTTTTCTTACCATTACTGAAGTAGGTGTTTATTTTTCTTGGTGTTCTGCATTTAATGACTGCAGACCTCCCAAGATATCAAGAAGATTTAGAACCTTAGAACTATACTTCATACCTCTGCCCCTGTTCACACCAGTATAATGATAATTGGTTTTGGAAACCAAGCTAGCTTCCTTTTGCTGTATGTTACATAGGGTTACAGCATAGGGTTACAGGAACTATAAAAAAAGTATTTTAAAGCTGTAGCTCATATGAGTGTGTTAGCATGTGCAAATAGTACAGGTTAGACACTTGGCCAGCAAAAAAAGGCTGCTTCTGAATATCAACACCTTTTTTTTCTCCTATTGTTTAAAAACTTGGAGGTGAGAAATGGTACCTGCAGGTCCCTCACCCTGCAGCCCTGTGACTGGGCTCTAGCACACTGCCTTCATTGTCAGTGTGTGCTTCGTTGTTTGATGGAAATACAGCTGGAAAGCTGATGCCTTTCTGCTTAGAAAATACTGTTCCCTTAAGCTATCATAAACTGGTGGCTTCATGTTTTGTAGCAGACTTGGTGTATCTACTGAAGTAACAACAGGTCCTGTAACTGTCCTAAGAGCACAACTAAATTGTTGGTGGACTAGCCTGGCTCATTTAGAGAAACTGTTAAAGTCTGCTTGAGGTAAATAATTGTGTCCTCTTGAGTTGTTAATAGATTACTTTGTAATGGGTAATTTAGTACTAAGATTAGAGTCTCAATTATGGATTACTTTTTGCATTCTGGGGCAAAATCACAGAATTGTCAGGGTTACAAGTCTGAGTCCAACCATCAACACAAGAAAAATCCCAAAACTAAAATAAAAACAAACTAAACCAAACCAAGACAACCCACACAAACACAACCCAAAGAACTACAAACCCACATACACTCCACCAAAAGCACACACAAAAAAACCACCCCACAACATTGGCCACTAGAGCAGACCCTGAAGTGCCACATCTACACATTTCTTGCATAGCTCCAAGGCTGGTGACTCCACCACCTCCCTGGGCAGGCTGTTGCAGTGCCTGACTGCTCTTTCAGTATAGAAACTCGTCCTAATATCCAGTCTAAATCTCCTGTTCTGCATCTTCTGGTCATCTCCTCTAGTCCTATCATTATCCACCTTTCTATGACCTTCCTTCAGGTAGTTGTAGAAGGCAATGAGGTCTCCCCTTAGCTTCCTTTTCTTCAAACTAAATATCCCCAGTTCCCTCAGCTGTTCCTTGTATGAGTTGTTCTCTAGTCCCTTTACCAGCCTTGTTGCTCTCCTCTGGACATGCTCCAGCACCTCAATGTCCTTCTTGTAGTGAGGGGCCCAGAACTGAACACAGTACTCAA